GCAAAGGAAATTTATAAAACAGAGAAAGAAAAATAAACTACAAAAACTAGAAAACAAGTTACAAAGCAGTGGTATTAATACTTAATCATCTTGAGTATAAATGGATTATATTCTAAAATTTTAAAAAATAGAGTAATTGAATAGATTAAAAAATAAGACACAACTTTATGTTGCTTACAAAAAACAAAACAAAAAACAAACAAAACAAAAAAAACCACTGTACCTCTAATGACACATATAGATGAAAAATGAATGGATAAAATAAGATATTCCATGCAAATTGAATCCAAAGGAAAACAAGAGTAACCATACTTGTATAGAATTAACTTTAAACTACAATCAGTAAAAAGAGATGTACATTATTATGTAATGATACAGGGGTCCATTCAGCAAGAGAAAATAACAATTTTCAATATGTATATACCCATTATCACAGCATCTATATACACGTATACAAAATCACTCAACATTATTAATCATCAGAGAAAAGCAAATCAAAACTACAATGAGATATAATTCTACCCCAATAATAATAGCTATTTTTCAAAAAGTTTACACATAACAAAAACTAGCAAGTATGTGGAAAAAAGGGAATCATTACACACTGTTGTTGGGAATGTAAGTTAGTATAGCCATTACAGGAAACAGTAAGAAGGTTTCTTCAAGTAATTAAAAATAGAACTATTAAGATTTAACAATCTCAGGACTGGAGTTATGGCTCAGCAGTAGAGCACTCGCCTGGCATGTGCAAGGCCCTGGGTTCGATCCTCAGCACCACATAAAAAAATTTAAAAAGTAAAATAAAGGTATTGTGTCCAACAACAACAACAACAAAAGATTTATCAATCCCACTCATGGATATATATCCAATGGAAATTAATTAGTATTCTAAAGAGATCTATACTTCCATATTCATTGCATCATTAATCATAATACCCAGGAAACAGAAATAATTTATGTGTCCATCACCTGATAAATGGATAAGGACAACTTGGTACATTTATATGATGGAATACTATTCAGTCATAAAAAGAATTAAGTCCTGTCATTTACAATAACATGGATGGAAATGAAGATCATTATATTAAGTGAAATAAAGCAGGTGCAGAAAAACAAGTACTGCATGATCTTACTCAGACATGGAATCTAAAAAAATCTAGACTGGGGGATACATGATACAGGGAGAGTGTGGTAGGAGAAGGGATGGAGAAAGATTGATCTATGGTTACTAAATTCCAGTTAGATAGAAATAATAAATTCTGGGGTTATTGTACAATGATAACAATAATGTACTGTGCATTTCAAAAAGCTAGAAGAAAGGATATTGAAAGATTTCACCATAAAGAAATAATTAATGTTTGAGAAGATATATATGTTTATTTAAATATTACACAATACATATTTCTTAAAATATATCATGGTATCACTTTTATATGTACAATTTTATGTTTTATACATAAATTTAAAATGAATATATTTTTAAAACAACATATGGAATAACAAAAGACATTTATACCAATAGAATAGAATAGACTGCCTAGATATAAACTATTTCATATATGGTCAAATGATTTCCAATAAAAGTTTCAAGAACATTCAGTGGGTAGGAAGTCTTTTTTCACAATTAGGGCTTTGAAAACTGAATATCCACATGAAAATAAGTGAGTTTGAAATCATATTTTATATAAAAAATCAATCCAAAGTGAATGAAGAACCTAAACATTGAGTTAAAATTATAAAACTCACTGGGTACAATGACTCATGTCTATAATCTCAGAGGCTAGGGAGGCTGAAGCAGGATTTGAGTTTAAAGCCATCCTCAGCAACTTAGCAAGGCCCTAAGCAACTCAGCAAGACCCTATCTATAAATAAAATGTTTAAAAAGGTCTGAGAATGTTGCTCAGTGGTTTAGTTCCCCTGGGTTCAATCCCTGAACCCCCTACCACCAAAAAAGATCATAAAACCCGTAGAATAGAGAAAAAGCTCCAAGAGATTGGTGTTCTCAGTGATTTCTTAGATATGACACAAAAAGCATAGGAAATAAAATTAAAAGTAAATAATTTGGACTTAGAATGCTTTTGTATGTCACAGACACTACTAATAGAATGAAAAGGCAATTCACAAAATGGAAGGAAATCATTTTCAAATCATTTACTTGATAACAGATTGGTATCCAAAATATATACGAAATCCTACTATTAGCCACATTTAAAATAAACAATCAAATAAGAAGACTGTTACTTGCTGTGTTGGCACATGCCTGTACTACTGGCAACTCAGGATATTGAGGCAGGAGAATTGCAAGTTGGAGGCCAGGTTTTGCAACTTAGTGAGAACTCTTATCAAAATAAAAAATAAATAAATGAATGAGAAATTAGTTAGTTACAAGTTTTGACCAAGATGTGGACCAATTTGTACAATTATACACTGGTTTGTGGGAACATAAAATGGTAAAGCTGCTACAGAAAATAGTTCCTGAAAAAATTAAAAATAGAATCATCAAAGCTGGATGCAGTGGCATGCAAGTCCCAGTTACTTGGGAAGCTGAGGTTGGAGGATCACTTGAGCCTAGGAATTTTAGAACATGGACACCATAATGTGATCCCCATATCAAAAAAGAAAGAAAAAGGAAGGAAGGAAAGAAAGAAAATATATTCACTAGAGACTAAGCGAGATCCTCCCAAAGCAGGGGTTCAAAGACATATTCCACACTCTTCCACACTCGTGTTCATAGCAATATTATTCACAATAGCTAAAACATGGAAGAAAATCAAGTGTCTATTGGTGAATGATTGGATAAGCAAAATAGGCTATATACATACATAAGAATTTTATTCAGCCTTAAAAAAGAGAGAAATCCTGATACATGATACAGCACAGATGAAGGTTAAAAACTTAATCCTTAAGTGACAAAACTCAATTACGCAAGAACAGATAGTGTATGAAGTCTCTTGTATGAGATAACTAGAGTAATCAAATTCCAGAGAAGAAAAGTAGATGGTGGTGCCAGGAGGTGGAATGCCAAGGATGATCAAAGTAAATGTATAATGAGTATGGAGCTTCAGTTGAGGAAGATGGAAAAGTTCTGGAGATAGATGGGTGATTATGATTGTTGCACAACAATATAAAAGTGCTTAATATTACCAAACTGTAGAATTAAGATTAGGTTATGGATGTTTAACAGAAAAATGATATAAGAAAAATACCCAGAACTGAAGGACAAAAATTTTCAGATTGAAAAAGCACAATAAACTGAATAGAGAGAAAACCCAGCTAATCAAACTAAAACTGAGACAAATCACTTATGAAATACTTGAATACCTGACATAAAAACTGCTTATTTACAGTGAAAGGTGACAATCAACAACAAACAGAAGTTCACACACATCAGATCAAGAACTGAATGGCAATGGATGCCAAAAGTAACACTGGTATCCAGAAAGCAAGGAAGTAATTCTAAAAAAAGAAAGAAAATTGAAAAACATTCTGTATTTAATTGCACTTAATCTCATCATTGACCAAATTAAGTGTGGCATAAAGACAAGCTTAAGCTTTTAAATTTTAAAAAATTTAACCTCTATGCATAAGTTCTCAGTAATAGAGAAGGCCTCTCATTAAAAGAAGAAAATAAACCAAGAAAGAACATGATATAGAATCCTGGAAACAAGGGTTTCAACAGATTAGAGAGACAGATAAACTCTCAAGATCACGGTGGAAGGAAAGTGCCAAGATAACAGTTGTCATAGGAAGTACAGCAATAAAATTAAAAGAGTAAAAAGATGGGATCCAGAAGGATTATCTTTTTTAAAAATGTGGGTATATTTGAATTGGCAGTTGTTTGAATGGTGTAAGAGATTTGAAAACACATTTTCAACAAAAAACTGCATAAAAAAACAAATTTATTCCTAAAATAATGTGGCCCAGCTGTGAGCAGTATTTACTTAGTCAAAATAAATACAAATGAAATATTAGTTAACTCCAAATAGTGATGTTATAATTCTATTAGGAGAAGAGAGAAGGTTATAGGTAAGTGTATATGTTAAGGAGAATTATAAGAGAATAAAATCTCAATCTTTCATAGTAGAAACCTATAGATTAAATCTAAATTTGAAAAAGAGATTTTCTGATTAAGCTCAAATTATTTACTTTTAATTTTAATATAATAAAATTATTGAATTAAATGGCCTTGGAGTAGTAAAAGGAATGAATGGAGGGGTATGTAGCATGGGACTCCTATTTTTCCTTTTATTCCAGTTTGGTTTATAAGCCTAAAGGTTTAAAACATCATATAAAAATAAAATTACATTTAAATAAAAGACATAGAGCTTTATGAAGTACATGAAAATAATGATGTACAGATAAAATAAGCAACAAGTCATTGACAAATGTGGATCTAGTAGAGTGACCAGTTTTACATGCAAGAAAAGAAAATAACCAAGATAAAGATACCAACATGGAATTTTATAAAATAGAAAAAATTAAGTATTTGAGAATTAAAGAGAATCCCTTGAGATAACTGATTTTCAAATTAAAAGGCTTTATAATATTTCTGTGAAAGATGATAGAAAAAAGAATGTCTCTTATAACATTTTCTCATTTTAAAAAATCTTTAAAAATAAAAGAATGCATATTAACAACCAAAATTTAATAATACTCATTTATATAACAAAAATAATTACAAAGTTGAAGTAAATTTAATATCACTTTTTAATTTCAAAATTTGTGATTAATCTGATACTTCATATAGTTCTCAAAGAAGGTGTAATACGGACAAAACCATACAATAACAAAACAATTCAGTGTAATTCTTGCTATCCAATTTACCTACTTCCAAATATCTACACGAAATGAGGTTCTTGAAATTCATGGAATTTATGAATTTGTATATTTCATTGACTCTTGTATTTATTTAGAGTTCAAATCATTATTCCCAATGGGCAGTGCTTTATTTAGTCATCAAAATATATTCTTTAAATATAATTAAAATTTATATAACTTACCTTCTGGAAAGAGATGACTTGATTTTTTTGATTTCCTGCCAATATCTTTTGTTTTTAATCCATATATAATGGGAGAAAGATTTTTTCTCTGTCCACTCGCTTTTTTAAGATCAACAGAAGAATAAATATCCTGTGAAAGTAAAATAAAAGCACTGATAGCATCTCATATGTTTTAGAGTTCCCAAAGAGCTTTCATATGCAATATGTAATATTATAATTGACTTTAATTAAAAGAAATCTGGAAAATAGGCAGAGTTAAGAAAAAAATTTAAAAATTTCCCTTTCTGTAATATTTTGATAAACTGTCCTTCTATTAAGAGTTAATAATATACCTTACATAAAGCTACAAAAGAGATGGAGGATAAAGGAGACCTGTACGGAGAATGCCATAAGGAGACAACAAAGAAACACACTATAGTGTTTGTCCAGAAAGTCTAAAGGAAGATTCAGAGAAAGAAGATCTATTTCATAGAACAATGATGACAGCAACATAAGCTGGAAAAGGAGGAACAGTAACACAAGAAGAATGTGGTGGGGGTGGTCAGCATAATTACAAATCTGAAAAAAACAAGTGGATCAAATATGACTGGGAGGAATAACAAGTTGAAGAGGAGCTTCATCAAAAAATGGGGGCATTGTCAATGTAAACTATATGTCTGTATTGTAATGTTTTATTAACACTGGTCTCTCTTTTTCTGTTCAGAGTCCAGCCAGGACTATTCCAGAGGTTTTATCAGGTCGTGAGGGAATCATCTCTATTTTATTGCATACATTGCTTCTATCCTCAAAGTTCTCTCATCATTCCAGAGAGATTCTAGAGCTCCAAACACCTTGTCTACATTTCAGTCTGGAAGATGGAAGAAGAGAAAATTTAAAAGGGGCACAATTATATTTCTTATCTCTTCTCAGAGATTCTACTAATAACTTCTACTAAGATCTCACTGACCACTCACAGTTACAAAGGAGAGGGTAAGGAATATGGCCTTTAAACTAGGAAAAAAAAGGAGGGGGTACTGGAATAAAATTGAAGTCCTCTTACTAAGAAGAAGAAGAGAAGGGGGAACAAAGGACAGATAACAATGGGCAAATAATTATCTCTGTCACAGGTAGAAAAACCAAGACCATAAAACGATGTATATGTTTGTACATTACAACTTTTGCAGGATAATGTGCTTTCCTTGATAATAAACACTGATCTAAATTCTAAAAGCTTAGCAAATATTCACCTGAAGCTAGATCTTTCTGAGATGTTTGCTTTTGCATATTTGTATATATAACATTTACATAGAGTTTATCACCTGCTATTATTTTAAGCTCTTTACAGATATTAGCTCATTTAATACATAAAAAAACAGGAGGTGAGATTTTTCACCCTGCAAGCTCTCATAGAGATCTTTATGTCTATGAGAATTAAAGTCATAGAAGAGGATTTCAAAATAGAGAAATCATTCTCATATTTTCATCAGTATTTTTACTTGTCCACTGATTCAAACCACCTTTATTCTTTTATTCTACCTTTTAATAAAAACCACTTGGATATGTTTTCTCTCTACACCACATAATATAGATATATTTAATGAAATCTATATTATTATTATTAGAAATCTATATTATTAATACATAGTATTCTCTACTTTATCATATTGAAAACAAGTCTCTGCAATGTCGCAAATTGCTAGGATATTTTATTGTTCATTGCAGGTACTAAGTATTATCTGTTCATGAATTTATTCTTCAATGAAATAGCTTTCACTCATCAACTCTAAGATAATTTCTTTTAAGTCTTTACACGACAATATCACTAGTTTTTGCTAGAATACAAATAAGCAGGGTACTTTAGACCTCAATAATGGTCTTTGTACTTTATATATTTACAAATTTTTCTTCAGGTTACCAAGAATGATTATAATTCATAATATCAAAATGTGATGTGATTTTTAGGTAATGTTGAATCTGTTTTCATTTAAATCTATTTTTATATTAAATATGACAAAAATAGCATAGAACACTATGTTGCAATTAAATCTGTAAAAAAAATTGTCAAATGCTTTTCCACCTCAAATTTTCTATAAATCCTTATCATACAGTATGATTCTTGTATCTTCCTACTTCTGAGAATTTTACTCTATTTTGATAACTTCCCTATCTTTTCTTGCTGACAACACAATTCATCACATGTGAAAAAATCACTTCAAACTCCATTTGAATCATAGAAATAGTCTTTTAGTTGCCACATTTTTATCCTACCCATAAGAAAATAATGCATGTTCTCAACAATTTGGTTTTCACAAGTATTTATTCCTTTATGTTGCCTCAGAATGATAAAGAAAAAAACACTACGTCAAATCTGAGATGCATTATCTCTATCATAGTTAATTTATAGAATCATGTAATTTAAAAGGCCAGAAATTAAATAAGTAGCTAGCAAATTTATTTTCAAAATATCATTTCTTTAGTTCCCCCCATTTACCTTTTATCATGTATCCAAACATCATTGTTTGTCATAATTTAAAATAGTTTTCCTTGTTTAATTTTAGCAAAGAAAAATTTATTACCAAGATTTCATACTTTATAGTGGAATAAATCTGTAGTAAGATAATCAGTCTAGATTTCTAAATAAACCTATTTATATAAGCTAAAGTCTCTAAGTTAAAGCTCACACAAGCTACCAACATAATGAAAATGTACTTTTCTGTTCTATATATTTCAAAAAGAAAAAGAAACAATGTGACCATTTATTGATTGATCTCTGAGACCATGGAGAAGGAAAAGTTATCAGAAGACTAAGAATGATCTACTAAACATTTTGTTTTCGATAGCAAAAGCATATTCTATTCTCTGTAGCACTCTAATCCTCACATTGGTCTTCAATAATTTTAGAAAATATTTTAAGAATATTTGATAACATTTGATATTATAAGTTGACAACAACTTAATTGCATTAGATATAATTTAATTTTTAACAGGCTCAAGGTAATTCAGTTCAAATATTTGTGTATGGTAAACCTAAAATCAGTAGTATGTTTGATATATCTTTCTTTACTTAAAAAATAACAATATGATTAGGTAAAGCACTTGAGTGATCACATGGAAAAAAGTTAGAATTCATAAAATGATACCACTCTGAAAGAACGTCTATAATTTCATTATAAACAGATCTGTTCTCAATCATATCTTGATCAATATGTGTGTGTATGATTTGACTCAAAATATTAAAAAAATTTTTATCACATTTTCAGAAGAAATGATAAAGGAACAAAATCTTTGAACACCAGACAGCAGTCTAAAACATGGCATATCCACAGACTGAAGCAGTGGGTCAAATTAAATACATGAAGTTAAATAGGAAGAGATATTACATTTGGGCAAAAATACTTAATTAATTAAATACATCATATGATTTAAAGGATGAATGATAAGAGACCCAAGATATTTAAGAGAAAACTAATTAGAACCCCTTTGTACAATGTGACCCTAACATATATTAATATTTACTTTAGAAAGGGAAAAAATGGCACTCTTATCCTATCACTTCTGATCAGAACAATAGTTGGTATATTGTGTCAGGACAGAGAAATATGTTTAAAAGTTACAGAAAACCAGGAACATGAAAAGATAGAAGTTTACCCACTAAATTACTGTGAAATTAAGCAGTGTATAAGTCACATTTAAGTAGAGAAAACGTAACAGAGATTTGGGCTCCACTTTCTTATGACGTACATCTTCCTCTTCTTGGAAAATACCATTCTCCTGTTCAAATCAGAAGAACTTTGTTCTGTAACCCTTTTATGAAACTGTATACATAAGTCATGAGCATTCTTGGCAAATTCAACCTCCAAAATAGGTCTCAAATCTGTTCAACTTTTTGCATTTCTACTGTTATTTCTTAAAAGTTATAATTATCTCTTCCCAGTCAAGGTCAATCACAAATATCTTCTTTTAGTATATACAAGATACATTTACATGGTTCAAGTTGTAAAACTGATCATATTTCTTTTTGGCTTTAAATGTGATTTAAGAATGCTAAGTCTTTACTATGAGGTACAAAATCTCAGTAAAATGAGGCCTCTGACTATATAGCTAGCTCATTTATCTCATGCTACTCTTGACTTAGTTCATTATACTTCTGTCACTCTAGACTTCATTCAGTCTCCTGAAGGAATCTCAAACAAAAGAAGCTATTGCTGTGTTCTGCTGCCTATCCTATCCTCTACAATCCCCCTCCCCTTCCCTCCCCCCCATCTTCTCTCTCTACCCCATCTACTGTAATTCATTTCTCCCCCTTGTTTTTTTCCTTTCCCCTCACTTCCTCTTATATGTAATTTTGTAATAGGAAAGATAGCAGAATACAACAGTTACTAATAGGGCATTATGTAAAATTGTGGATGTGTAACCGACATGATTCTGCAATCTGCATTTGGGGTAAAAATTGGGAGTTCATAACCCAGTTGAATCTAATGTATGAAATATGATATGTCAAGAGCTTTGTAATGTTGTGAACAACCAATAAAAAAAAAAACAAGTATGGCACTATGTAAAAAAGTGGATGTGTAACCGATGTGATTCTGCAATCTGTATACGGGGTAAAAATGGGAGTTAATAACCCACTTGAATCAAATGAATGAAATATGATATGTAAAGAACTATGTAATGTTTTGAACAACTAAAAGAAGCTATTGCCTGCCTCTAGTCTTTATGCAAACTCTTCCCCCTGCCTGGAACACTCTCCTTCCCATACTTCACATGATTAGCTCCTACTCTTCTGGTCTGAACTTAAAATATTATCTCCTCAGAAAATCCTATAACAACCTTGTGAAAAATAATCTCCCTCCTCTACTTGTTTTTTTCTTTATTTTATTTTATTTTATTTTTTGCAGGGGAGGGTATCAGGGGTTGAACTCAGGGGCACTAGACCACTGAGCCACATCACCAGTCCTATTTTTTTAATTTTATTTGGAGACAGGGTCTCACTGAGTTTTTTAGTGCCTCACTTTTTGCTGAGGCTAGCTTTGAACTCGCAACCCTCTTGTTTCAGACTCCTGAGCTGTTGGGATTGCAGGCATGTGCCACCGTGCCCAGCACCCTATTTGTTTTGATTATAAGATTTATCACAATTTTATTTGCTTGTTT